ATTTTTAATTCAATAATTAAAATTTAAGGTTGTTTATAAAATTCGTAAATGTTGTCTTGATAAAATTTATAAAAATATAAAATATTGTGGAGGATGCTAAAATATGACGGAGATAGTTTTTTTAAAAAAGGAAATCAGTAATATGGGTAAATTGCCCAAATTAAGATTGACACCAGGATATCTCCATCCTACAACTCTACATAAATTATATGAACATAATAAAAAGATATAATATATATTTTTTTTTAAAGAATAGCAAACACCTCCTTTTGTAAAAAAAGCTAGCGATGCCCCTTTAGCCCTAAAGTTAATAAGTTGTACAAGGAAGATGTACAGCAACAAAAGCAAATATGCGTAAGAATCGATTAACCTATATTAAGTCAGCGTATTTCCTAAAAATAAAAAAATTATAGTTTGACACAAAAGTTTTCAGTGAATAGAGCTTACAATTAAATGTATAATATTATCTATTTAGATAAATATTATATGTATTTATTGGAAAATTTTTGCAATTAGAGAATGTATTGAGTAAATTATCATATGAATTGTCTTCATTTACCCATATTTAAAAGGACTGATGAATCTATGAAATAAAAAAAATAATAACTATATTAAATGATAAAAAATAAAAAATAAAGTATACTAGCTTCTGTGCTTTTAAGATAGATTGGTAACTAAAATAATAATAGAAAGCAGAATTTATCTAAATTCCATAATTTCTAATTTAGTGAATTTATTATATTTAATTATTTTTAAATCTAATCATAGAAAGTTAATAATACTTATTTTTATTTATCAACATGGTTATTAAAAATAATAAGATGTTTGATTGTAAAACCAATTATAAATTTGAATATTAAATAAAATAATAAAAAATAACAATTTTTCTTAACTAAATTGCACCCAATGACATTAATCATTTAAAAAAGCATTATGAATATAAATACGTTTTTATGAGTTCTACATAATTATTTTCTTTCACCCATTTATATTTAAGAAATTTTCTGCCATATTTAAAACTATTTTAAAACTATTTTAAATTATTTTAAATTTACCCAACCACTCGGATCCCAGTAAACACTCCGGATTAAAGTCCTTCACGTAACTCTTTAGCTCAAAATATTGTACGAAATAGCAAAATACAAGTTCAGAAAAATTTCTTTACCAAACCTTACATCATGAATCTTAATTCCTCCGTTAAAACTATGCTAAACGGGTCCCTTTTCTTGTCCTCCTTAAATATTAATGGCATCAAAGATAAAATGTCAATTCTTATGACGCTATTATCAAATGACTCTACCGACATAATAGGATTACAGGAAACCCACTCCCCCGACAACCATTCGGCCCAATTTACAAATTATATATACTATAGCTCTGGAACCACGAACAATAAATGGTCAGGTGTGGCCTTCCTTATCAAAAATAAGCTCAAAAAATACATTATAAAATTTGTCCCTATAACCGAAAGAATTGCTGTACTATTACCGCCTACAAACCCACCATCCTCCTCAATGTTTACGTCCCCCCTAAACTCACAGAAAGAATGTTATTCCTAGAACATCTAGATAACGTGATAAGCTCCTTACCAAAAAGATACAATATCATAGCTATGGGAGACTTCAATACTAAGATAGGCCATGACATAACATACAAAGTAAGCAATAATATAGGCCACACAACAGTATATAACAGCAACGATAAAGATGGAAAAAAACTACTCCAAATATGTTTCGATAACAATCTAAAAATTGAAAACACGTTCTTAAAACATAAACCTCCTCACCTCATGACCTTCTCAAGAGGTGGCCACTCCTCACAAATTGACTTCTTCCTATCCAATATCCATAGCTGGTTTGCAGATGTAAAGGCCATCCTAAACATAAATATATCAGATCACAAACTAATCAAAGCACATATAATAATACGAAGTGATGAATGGAGGAACAATAATACCAGGCGCATCCATAGCACAATACGTACAACGCCAGAACAACCTACCAAATGGCACTTCACTAACATTAACAAAACAGCCTATAATGAAACAATATGCTCAGGCCTAGCTAGGATTATTCAGTTCTTCCCTACCAAACCATTAGAAGAATGTTGGTCAGACTTCAAAAGTGCGATTTTCCACGCCTACAATAACCTCAACCACAGCCAAATACCAAAAAGAGAATGGCTCTCAGCAAATACAAAAAACTTAATCCTATCGATAAAAAACGATAGCAGCCGCAATTTAGAACTATGGAAACGCATTCAGAGATTACTACGTAGCGATCGTAGGATTTTCTTAGCAAAGAGAGCGGAAGAAATAGAAATAGATATGAGGAACAACAAAACTCATGACGCCTACGCTCAAACACTTCTGCAAACCAGCATGCTTTAAGAAATTACCAATACTTACTTTACAAGGAGGTAACAAATATACAGACCCTGAAGAGCAAATGGCCATCTGGACAGACTTCTATATGTCAGCCTTTGAGTCCAGGATCCCTTCCAAGATAGTGAGCCCCCAACAGACAATCTTGCCATTACTCCACTCTGATTTCTCCCTCACAGAAATTAACAGAGCCATAAACAAACTAAAAAACAATAGAGCACCCGGCTCTGATGGGATCAGAAATGAACACATGAAAGCCGCTCCAGAGAGCATTTCTAAATATCTATTAGCTATATTCACCAAAATATACAATTCAGGCAAAACCCCAGATGATTGGAATAAATCCACAATCTGCAACTTCCCCAAGAAACTCCATCCTTCATCTTTCGCAGACTACAGGGCCATTATTCTCACCTCCACAGTCTCAAAGGTGTTCATGGTGCTCCCGAAGAACAGAATTCTTGATTCTACCAAAAACCTCCTGTCAAGTAATATTTGCGCATACAGGCCAAATAAGAACATCAATGAACCCATCCTAGCTCTTAAAATCTATCTACAGAAGTGTTTTAGATATAAACTTCCTTTTATATTTTCTTTCATAGACTACAGCAAAGCCTTCGACAACGTGAAACACAATGCCCTCTGGGAAGCTCTAGAAGATTGCAATATCGATCCAAACATAATTAAAATTTTGAAGTACCATTACAATAACTATTGGGCCAAATTACAGCTAGGCCAAACTTTCTCACCTTACTTCAAGATTAAAAGAGGTGTAAAACAAGGCTGTGTACTATCACCTATTTTGTTCAATATAATCATAAACAAAATTATAAAGGAAACCACGAGCACCATGAACCTAGTTGATATATCATCAAACAATAATAATATCAATCACCTAAGAATCATCTCATACGCAGATGATCTAGTTTTAATCACCAAATCAAGAGATGAGACAATAGACTTACTTACAAGTCTATGCTTTCATAGCAACAAAGTAGGTTTAACCATCAACTTTAATAAAACTTTTATTATGCCATCCCCAGAGGCGTCTATAAATAACTTAACATTTGAGGGAAATGAAATTAAAATAGTTAACAATTTTAAATATCTTGGCGTACTTATCGATAATAAAGGAAATATCAGCGGTGAAATCGAAGCCCGACTATAAAACGCCAAAATAACCTTTATGAAATATTACAAACTATGGACAGCAAGAGAGATCTCAGTCAAAACGAGGCTCCGAATTTTTAACGCCACAGTCATTCCAGTCCTCCTCTACGGCAGCGACACTTGGGAAATAAATAAATCTCAGACAAAGAAAATACAAGTTTTCGTAAACCGCTGTCTGCGCCAGCTCAACGGTATTTTCTATCCAAGAATAATTTCGAATGCCAGCCTATGGCGAATCTCAAAAAACGTCCCGATCGAGACTACTCTCAAAAAAAGGCACATTCAACTCTTTGGTCACACCATCAGAAACTTCAGACAAAACATAGTCCATGAAGCTATAATCTGGCTCGAGTCTCATGAAGGTAAAACATACGGTAAATACAAGTCATATTGGCTATACAGAACGATAAAAGAAATCATAAGCCTAAATCTGACGATGGAACAATTCATACGTCTAAACAATAATAAAAGCTCAATAAAAAAGCTTCTAAAAATCAAATCAGGCTACCTGCACCCTCCAAATCTCTCAGCCCCCCCTGCAGCATAAGCACCACTTTCCTCCCGCCATGGTAAACATACATTTATTTATTTGTTTATAAAACTCTTCATGTACCTAACCTATATATAATTATCCAAAATATACTTAACTCACTAATCTAATATTCTTAAATAGTAAGGCAGATTTATTTAAAAAATATATCATATTTATATTAAATAAACAAATTCAATATAGACCATAAACTTAAAATTTACCAATACCCCTCCCTATAATTTACATTTTACTTAATCGGGTACGGGCTTTTCTCTCTCTTCTTATTTCCCGTAGGCGTTTAAGCAAGTGGTTTCGCCTCTTGCGCGCACAGGTAACTGCAGCCTGCCCAAGAACTGTGGATGGGCTCATCTCATAGGTTACCCCCAAATTTCTTAACCCAATTAGATGGGATGAGATAGTCCAAGCGTAGCTCTGCTGTTTCATATAGCGATAAAGGGTAATTGTGCTTATTATGACGTATAAATACGTTTTTATATAAATAATAGAAGCGAATTGTAGTGAAACAAAATTGTTTTAATATATTCATATTCAATTCAATAGCAACATCCTAATAATCGCAGAGGGTTGGCAATGAAGTCGATGATATATAGTCTTATTTATATAATATTGATACAATAAATGTAAAATGAATTATATATAACCAATCAAATATTTTTACATCTCATATTATGTAATCTTCATATAAAGAATAGTTTATAAAAAAGTTTTTTAGAAAACATTACTTATTACTTTTACTTTTGATCTAGATAATTTTATTATATGGATATAAACATGAATTTTTTGGTTTGAATATAATCTTTTATAAAATTTAGAATGTAATTCTATACTCGTCATCATCATCAATTTCACTTTTCACTTTTGAAATTTAATTTATATATTTTACCATTTGTCCGCCTGTACAAATATGGGAAATATTGATTACTGACTATTTTGCCCTTCTAATCTTATTTGCCTATTTTAAAAACTAATAAAATTTATTTGCCTATTACTTAGAGAACTTCCAGCTATTTTAAAAAAATGAAGCCAGTAATTATATTTAGCATTTATGAAATTAGATAACCGTGATATACACATGGATGATACTCAAGGATGAACAGTAAACATTTGATAATTTTTTGATTGAAATTATAATTTATTCCCAAATAATAAATTACCTAAAATAATAATTTTTTTTAGGTTCCAAGATTGATCTTATGCCCAACCAGTCAAATTCACATAATAACCCACTACCTTTATCTAATTTAATTAATACTAATAGCAAAACTAATATCAATAATAATAACCTAAGTAATTCATCTAAAGTTACAACTGTACTTGCTAATTATGGGGTTCTATCTCCCCCTGAGTCAGAAAATCAAAATATTATTACTTCAGCAAACATTAATAAAACAAATGAAGTAGAAGGAACAAATAACAATGGCTCAAATACTGCAGCTAAAGAAATCTCATACACTGATACAAAAGTTATTGGGAATGGCTCCTTTGGAGTAGTTTTTCAAGCTAGCCTTGTTGAAAGTGGAGAACTTGTAGCTATTAAAAAGGTTCTTCAGGATAAGCGCTTTAAGGTTAGTTTTATTTATTTAATTAACACTAAGATTGACCTTAGCTATATATTTTATCTCACTAATTACTATTTTGCAAATCTTAAACTTTTATGTTACATAACAGCACCCAATTGTTTAATAAAATGAAATATTAATTATTTATTCACTTTTAGATTAGGAGTCTAAACTCTGAGTTAAATTTTATATGCATTCTTAGTTTTTTTAAATGATTATTTATATAAGTTTAAAAATATAACATGATTATATTTGCTAAATAGTTTTTTAAAATATTTATTTACTCAAGATTTGCATCTCATCATTTATAAAAATTATTTAAATAAATATTAATGTTATCAGCATTGAGTCATGTATGTGATTTCTCTAAAAACACCCCTAGTCAAAAATTAATACATATAATTATTTTTATAGCAATGTGCGTTTTCATTATTTTTATTATAACTTTTTATTAACATGGGTTATGGAATCTTTTCTTTTGTTTCTTAATAATTTAAAATGAATATAAGTTTTATTAAATTTCTTTTTCCATTCTAAATTTTCTACAAATTTAAAAATTTTTATTCTTAATTTTAGAATCGCGAACTTCAAATAATGAAAGAATTAAATCACTGTAATATAGTTAAACTACGTTATTACTTTTACTGTACAGGTGAAAAGGTTAATATATTCTTTATAATAATGCATTATTAATATTGATTTATTTTTCACTTTTACACATTTATTTTTTAATATATTTTATAACAGAAAGATGACATATTTTTAAATTTAGTCTTAGAATATGTTCCAGAAACTGTATACAGAATAGCTCGTCATTATTCTAAGTCAAAATTAATGCTACCGCTCTTATATGTTAAAGTTTGATTGATTTAAATTATTCCGAATCTTAAATATTATATATTTATTTTTTACTTATAAGATGTTATATCTTATAATTTTGATAAAACTAATTAAGTTGAATTTATTATTCTAAATTTTAAGTTTTTTAATATAATTATCAGAAACCTTAAGATGTATGATTTGCAAGGCCTGGTCAGGATTTAAAAAAAATTTGGTGCAGCCCAGATTTTTTTAAAAATATTTTTTAGGCCTGCCCAGTTATTTTAATAACTTTCTTTCTTAATTTATAGGCCTGACCTGAGATGGGTATATTTGAAAAATTGATAGGGCCTGGCCTGGAGGTCTGCTAATTATAAAATAATATAAAAAATTTATTTTATTTTATTACATGTAAGCATTTAAATTTAGCCAATATCAAACATTTTTTAAAATAAAAATACTCTAACAGGTCTACCTATATCAACTTTTTCGTGCATTAGCTTACATCCACTGTAAAGGTATATGTCACAGAGATATAAAACCACAAAATTTGCTCCTAGATCCCGAATCTAGTGTATTAAAACTCTGCGATTTTGGGAGGTAATATTGTAAATATTATTAATTTATAATAAAAAATTTCAATATTCTTTAAATATTTACCTTAGATTTATTAATTTTAAAATAGAAAGCCTCATTTTAACCATACTTACCTTATATAACATTATATAATTTGAAGTTTTCTCGCATAGTTAAATTAGATATTTATAAATTTAATAATAAAATTTTATTGTTAAACTATAATTAGATAGTTTTAAAAATTTTAATTAATTTTTTATAATTTTTAAATAAAAGAAAAATCATTTAATTTGGTAAATATAATGAGAAAGTAAAGGTGATTGCTAATATGTTTGGGATTAAAAATTTTAAACCTAGAGTAGTTTCTAGATATTCCAATCGCTTAAATATTGATGCATCTACGATTAAATAAATATTTTTATTCCCCTTATTGATACATTTTTATTTCAATTAAATGAAAGATTTATTAGTCAAAATTTTATTTTAATCAGCTTTTATTTTCTTTTGCCGGTTGAGTCTAAATACACTGTAAACACGAGAGGATATTAAGAAAATCTCAGAGTTTTATTCTGATGAATTATCAGGATCGTATGATAAATTACTTTGTGATGTCAAATTTTCGTATAAAAATTTTGACAGAATAGAGTACTCTTTGAGACAAAGTATGCTTTGCAGGCCCTTTCCATGTATAATTGCACTTTAGATTCCCTCCCTAATATCAAAACATCGCCTTTTATTTTAGCTACCTTACCGATAAGCACACACTAATGAAAGGTCTTTTTAAACTTTGAAAAGGTTAAAAACTTATTTAAGAAATAGCACCGATGAAAGCTGTTTAAATGGATTAGCAATATTAAATATTTAAAGGAGATTTTTCTCTATAAAAATTTAATTCTAGATGAATTAGTCAAATCTCAGAGGAAAGTAGATCTCTCTTTATAAATTCAAATTATAAAATTGCTATATTACTATGATCTTAGTCATAAAATTTTTATATTTAAAACGTAATTATAATGATTTCTTAGTCATAATATTTATATATTATACTATTTTTAATAAATTGTATTTGCACCAAGAATTAGTGATCTGCATCGGGACTAATTTTTCAAACCCGGCCCTACCCGAAATTATTTATAAAAAGTTTTGCCGGCCCGAACCCCAAATTTTTTTTTAAAGTTTTGTCGGCCTGGCCCGAATTCATTTTTATAATTACTCAAAATAAAAGATATATGTTATATGGCGTCTAGTTTTTATAAATAAAATCCAATATTTTTATTTTACATAAAAAATTTAACATAAAATTGATATATTTAGATATATTTAAAAAATTTCCAAGATCCGACCCAACACGGCCCGAAATTTTTTAAAAGATATTAGACCCGACCCAGTCTCATCCCGATTTTCCTACTTTTGTGGATCTATAATAAATTATTTATGTTTTATTAATATACTCATTTGTATTAATTTTATTATAGTAAAATCTACAATGCTCTGCAAAATTTTGTTATATGCAAATTTAATTAAAATAATTATTTTTAACATAGAATAAGATATATTAAGTGATCATAAAAATATAGGTTTGGGAGGGGGAGGGGAACGATTTTATTCTTCTTTCTACATCTAATGGATTGAATTAACTAAACATTGATAAAATTTTCATAATAATGCTTTCAGTCGTGTATTAAAACAATATTTTTTTCATTTATGCTGGCTACTATAGTGGTTAGACACCAATTTAGCACAAAATTGGCAAATTTTTAAAATGTGGTTTGGGGGCGAAGCCCTCAAAAAAATTTTAAACCCCCCCCCCCCCTTCTCCAGGATTAATTCTGGCTACACCACTTATTACTATCAAGTGTTATTGTTTCATTGGTCTAGAAAATGTGTATCGCTAGAAATAATTTTAATTTTATTCCCATAGAAAATCATTTATGTTGGCTATGAGTATTTTTGTAATTTTTTAAAAACTTTTTGTGAGTTACATAATTTTTATATTTATAGGCAATATTTGCACGGTAATTTTGATAAATTAAAGTTTTATGCCAACTTAACAGTATCTATTTTTGAAATTAACTATAAATTTTTTTTATTTATGCAAAATTATGATAAAAATACTAGGATAAAACATTTTTAAAATAAGCGGAAATTTTTCTTTTATAATTAATGTTAAGTGTTTATATAAACTTCTCTATTTGGCCTTAAGACATGTTATTTATTCAGCATCATAGGGATTTTACTAGTCTCCAAGCCTACTGACACATAATTTGGCAAAATATATTATTTGATTGTTTAGTCACCATGGGCTGAATCCACCTTATTGTTGTATATGACTTTTCTGAGAATTTTTGAATATCATACTTTCAGTTAAAATGCTACATATATTTTCAGCTTTAAAATGGCCATTACAAAAATAAAAAGCAAAATAACAAATTTAGAACGTTAAAAGAATCTCTCATAAATCACACCTTAAAATTATCGATAAATATAATACTTAAAATTTAACTGAATAAATTTTAAATCTATTAATATATAAATAAGATATGAAGATTTATTTAGGAGCATAAGATTTTTATTTAAGCTTGTAAATAAAGATGTGTTTTTATATCAATATAAAAAATAAAACAATACAATAGGTGTTTTTGATATTGGATGAAATAAGATTCTATTTAATATTAACTCTTTTAAGTTTTGATTAAAGCATTATAAATCCATAAATACAAACAAAAACGTTTTATTTTTGTTAGTTATATGCTTTTGCAGCGAAACCGATGATAAGGGTCTATTTTGGACTAGCGACACCCATATTTTTTACTTCAATATAATGTTGCCTGAAAAATTGGAAAAGCCATCTTTAGTTATGGCTAAAGCATACATAGTCATTAATATAATTCATTCTAAATCTCATATCTTGATAAGTATTATTTTCTTGAATATATTGTTCAATATTTCTTCTTAGATCTGGTGGAATAGTCGCATATATATTTTACGTGCCAGTTATTGCACATGCTTTGCTAAATTTTTCACGCAATTTAATTTTTTCATCATTCATACCTTAGAACTCATATATACAAGAGCATGTAAACAAAATTTATATATTTTCCCCTATAGTTTACATATACCATTTTTTATTTTTAGGTTATCTTTTATGAGCCTCCCAATTTGTCCCCTATGTTATAAAAATCAGAGTTGTTAACGCTCCTTTTTAAAAGTAGCAAGCTCCCGCTCTCGCTCCTACCTTCTCAAAAGGAGCGAGCTCCCGCTCCCGCTACTAAATATTAAAAGGAGCGCTCCCACTCCAACTAATGGAGTGCCGCTCCATAACCGCTCCTTTGATTTTCATTTTTTTAGAAGGTACACGAAACAAAATCATATTTTTTTATCAAAACGTTTTATTTATATTATATGATATATCAAAATATTTATAATCTTTTATTAGCTTTTAAATTAATAAATTTTCTAAATTAGAATCTAACAAACACCCACGCCTCTCCCCTAAGACCTGTTTTGCAATACTAAATAGGCGCTCCACAGGAGCACTAGAGGGAAGCGGGGTATTGTATTTTATATAAATATTTTTTAATTCAGGGAATTGTTCAAAAATAGTAATTTTGCTATCATTATAAAAAATATCTATCCAATTTATCTTCATGGTGATCAATTTCATGGAATCCAAAGAAATCTTCCAAATCATTGCAACATTCCCGTGAATTAGTAGTAGCTATTTTTCCGTCGGGTATTTGTTTCCTTAAAAAATTAATTAATCTGCCTTTTAGTTCCATATTTTTTGGATTTTTTATCCATTCCCAATTCAATTTGAATGCAGAATGGACAATCGCTGCAATGATATTATCATCATTATAAATATTTGAAAATCTGCAATAAAGTTATTTAAATAGATATAATTTATTTTTTATTATAAACCTTTTATTAATACCGCTTATAAGAGACTTTACAAGAGGTTGGCAAAACTCTAAATCTGTTAATTCGTTTAATTTTGAAATAAGTTTAGAAATGGTTGGACTTAGGAAACCCATGTCCATATGAAGCTCCCCTTCAAGGATTTTTAGAGCTTTTTTCATAGGCATAACCTAAAATTTATTTATTTCACTAATATAACGATTATATTAATATTTACTTGACTATACTCTTTAATAAATTTACGTTCTTGGGAGTTAAAACGTATAAGCCCATGGTTATCACACAACTCATCAAGGTCCTTTTGTTTTTCATCTAATATTTTATCTAGCAAAACCATAGACTCATAATATGAATTCCACCTAGTGGAATTTGGGCATATTAGATACCTACCCAACTTTCTGATAATATCGTCCGCCATATTTGTAGACATATTTTGTTTATTCCACAAAGATTGACACTTTTGGAATAAACTTTGAGATACTATTTGAAAGCTTCTATCACCTAAAGCTTTCTCTGCGTCAACTGTTGCCACCAAATTGAGATTGTGGCAAGCACATCGTGAATGTTGAGGGAGATAATCAAAGCTTTCTGCCCTATTATTTAGGATATCATCAATATCCACAAATTGGAAATCATCATCCATCTCAGAACTTTTATCTTCAAACATTCTAAAAAATAAAAGGAAAGTTATAATTTTAAAATAAATATTTAAGATTACCTGAATGCTTTCACAAAGTTCCTACCATTATCAGTAATGGTTTTTATCACTTTATTCTGAATTTTAAAGCTTTTATGTATATCAATTATTATCTTGGCCAAAACATCAAAAGTATGCTTGCCTTGAACATGTCTTAGGGCTAAAGCTGCTGATTTTCTTTGCAATGATTTTGTGTCAATCCAATGAGCTGTTATACCCAAAAAAGACCTTTATAAGTTAAATTAATCAAGCACATTTAAAAATATAGGCACTACCTTCTAAATCTACTCCAGCAATCAGCTGTGGTACAAATATAAGATACTCCAGAAAGCATTTCTATAATATCATCCATCATTTTATCATAACACAAACCTATCTTTGCTATTAGTGTTTGGCGGCACATTACCTTTGCTGAAGGGGAAAACGTTTTTATCATTTTGACAAAGCTAGAATTGTCTACAGTTGATAAAGAAACTAGTGTCTCAATGACATAATCAATGATTGCATTATCTCCTTCAGTTTTTGTATAGGTTCATATATTTTTTGACTAAAATTTAATATTGACTGTTTTTTCTCAGAAGACTTTATATTTTGGCTAATATCTTTTTTATTATAACTATTGATATGATTTTCAATTTTTGAATATTGATTAACATGTACTCTCTAGATATAAATTTATAAATTAAATTAAAATTTATTTTATAAAAATCAACTTTATTTTTAACTGATAATCTAAAACATCAAATTATTAAGGTAGATTTTTTAAATAAGAAATTGACAAATATTTAATGAGCCTTTATTTTTTTTTATTTTTGTAAATTATTTTATTATTTTGTTTTACTTATTTTATTAATATAAAATAAAAATAAATAATTATTTTCCAAGTTTATTGATCAAAATAAAATAAGAAAAAATCAAATTAAGATTAAATAAAATATAAATTTTACCATAATAAAATGTATATTTTTAATCCTTAACAACTCTAATAAAAATATATTATTTATTAAGAAATGAGTGTTTCATGCCCACAATGATCTCCTTAGAGTTCCTTGCCATCCTCAGGAGAACTTCCAACAAACAATATAATTATTAAAGACTATATTCCTACTCCAATAACTATTTAAACCTCCTATAATAATATCCTAAGGACCCATTTGATTAAAATATTTTTAGCAGAGTTGTTAAGGAGCGGCGCTCCCATTTTCTCAAAAACAGCTGGAGTGCCCCTCCTTTTTATGAGGAGCGGGAGCGGGAGTAGCTCCTTTTGATGTTGGATAAATTAAATATATAAATTATATTATTTTTTAAATATTAATAATATTTGTTAATTAAAATTTAATGAAAATAAAATTTATTTTATTTAAATTTATTCATTATTAAATGTTGAGCCGAGTTTTATATTGATTTTTCATCTAATCATTTTAAACATTAAACATCAATTTTTCCTTTTTATATTGAAAATTTTTTGAAAAATCTTGTAAGTCATATTAATATTCATTTTATAGATATATAATAAAAAATAGTTTTAGATATTATGGATTTAGAGATCATAGAAGAAGAAACCGAATTTCCATTTCCACCATATAAAAAATATTTCAAACTTATAGATGATACAGATGATAAAGTCAACTTAAAGGCGAAATGCCTATTATGTATTAACAACAAAAGGATATCTTTCTCTAAAATCTCAAGCTTTAATTTAAAAAAACATTTAAAAGTAAAATCAATATTTGTTTATTTTGTAATAATTTTTTTAAAATGGTTTTAATTATTTTTGGGCAATTCATTCGCTACTTTTATAAAGGAGCGTTAACAACTCTGTAAAATAGAAATAAAGATATAATTAAATACTAAAATTATAGTTTTGAATCCTTTATTAAATACTAATAATTAATTATAAGTTATATAAATTAATATAAAGGGAAAACATAAAAAAAATAAAATAAATTTAGAAAAAGTAAAAGTAAAAAATTAAAAATTATATGCGAAGAAATTAAGTAAAAGTAAAAAAATTCCCTTAAATTATAAAAATTGTTTCTTTTATATAAAATTAACTTCATCCATTTGAATATCGCAACAAATCCCTCCATTGAAGACACTCACTTCGTCAAATACTTAAGACAAAACTCGATCATGAATGGATTAAAGCTGTTTAAGATGCCAATTTTAATCTTTTGCTAAGATGAGGAACTAAGGGTGACCATAGGGTATAGACTAGGCTGCGATCTATCTCTACCTTATAAATGAAAAGGGTGCAGTAAAGAGTCCAATCCTAAGGGCAGACATAATCTAGCTTGTTTATATTTTAAAGAGCGGTACAATCGGTCGCCGTAAAGCTATTAATTTTATAATATCGAATAAATTAGGTTTGGCTATCTATCCAAATCTCTAGGAACAAAGATGTACAATTCCAAATTTTCCTACCAAATGTCATCTCGCAGTCGCACTTAATATTTTTTTATTGAAACTAGTGTTGTTAAACGGCTCAATTTATTTTATTAGGAAAAATATTATGCAAGCCTTAAGATTTTGCTCATAGGTGGCATAACTGTTTGAACATTATAAACGAAATCTCGAGGATTAGACAATATTTTCCTGGCTAAAATATTGAGTTAGCTGTTTTTAAAAATCGGTACAAATCGAGCCTTTTAACAACACTTATTGAAACCATCCAATTGAGATACTATTTTTCTTTAATTTTTAGGAGTCATCGTATTTTATACAATTATTTTTTGGTGATTTTATACAATCACATTATTATAAAATTGGCAATAACCCATAAAGTCAAACTGTTGTTCAGTTCCGTTTCTTAGTTTAATATTTTAAAACGGTTAAGCTTCGTTCGGGTTATTTTTGAACAAATTTGAATCTGTTCATTCCGGTTTCGAAATTCATATCGGTTTATTCCGTTTTTTAAATTAATCATAATTATGTATTTTTTTCATTGATTCATAATATTATGTTGGAAATATTTTCATTGAATTTCTTTATATTATAAATGAATATTTAATATTTATTAAATTATGGAAAAAAATAATTTTTAATGAATACTAAGCTTATTCTGCTATTTCAATTGAATTCCACCCAATGTTTAAAAGTTTAATTCGCCCATTGCAGACCCCTCCCTTCTCCCTTCTAGCTTAATGAAATTAGCTCTGAGTTTTCTCGTAATTAACGTTATCAAATGTGTCCAAGTTACATTACTAAAATAAGTAATCAATTTTCGTTAAATAACAATAATTCATATATTGCCCAAAAAAATTTGTAGCTAACTTGATTTCATTGAGCAGGGACGGGGCCATAATCCATAAAATTATTTTATTTTAAAATGCTGTGAATCGATGCCGTTTTGAGTATCGTGCAACTAGTATAAATATTTATTTTATTGCTTATTTAAGACAATCGTAAATATTGTTATAATTTTATATTTTTGTTTTATCTGAATTAAGTGCCAAGCAATTAATAAAAGGGGAACCCAACGTCTCATATATATGTTCTCGTTATTACAGAGCACCCGAACTCATATTTGGAGCCACAGATTATTCTTGGAATATTGGTTTTTATATTTAGTAAAATATGAAGTATTAATCTATTTACAATAAAATGATAATTTTTTAAGTGTATTTTCAAAATAATAACATTCACATGTATTTTATTCATTTTTTAAAAAAATATAACTTGCACAAATCATAAATAGTCATGTATATTCTTCTCCATATTTCAGGTTTACACATCCCTCTAATTTTTCTTTTCCATCTTTGACGTCCTGAGCATCAATATTTGTAAGCTTCATGCTTCTCATATCCGCCGCTATCACATTTGTCCACATCATCTTGGGCCTTACTCCAGTCTTGATTCTCCTACTTCCATCAAGGCTCTTTACCCACTCATCTTTTGTCATACGTTCCACATGCAAACCATAGTCTATTTCTTCGCATTACCACTCCAATCACTTCTATACCCATTCTTGTTAATTCCTTGCTAGTTTTCTCAGAGATACCCCACACATCCAACTAATCATCATCTTTGTTCTCTCCAACTTGGCTTCATGAGCCGCTTTTATTGCCCATATTTTGCCGCTATAATCTAAACAACTCCTCACACAGCTTACGTAAACCTTCCCCATACCCCTATAGAGAGACGTTTTTATATTTTAGAATAGACATCTTTCTGAACTTCTTCCATGCTTGTCTGACCCTTGCAATAACAGTAGAATCTACACCACCACCTGCATTTAGCATATCACCCAAATAGCACTTTTTCACTTTTCCCAGGGTTAACCCATTGCCAATATCCAAACCACCATTTTCTACATTATCTATGTACCCCTTTTTGCACGTTCTACAAATAAAGGTCATTCTTGCTAACATCAGACTTCCTTTTTCCCGCTACATCTTTTATGCTTCAATTTCTGGCATCCGGGACTTTGGATTGAATTTCTAATAACTCCTTTCCTACATACACCACAAGGCCAGTTGCTGGATTCCTCGATCTTCAAATTATTCCCGCCAAGCATCACCTTTGTCTTTATTTCATTCATTTTCAAGCCCTTTGCTTCCATAGCCATCTGCCTTCTACTAATTTTATCCCTCAATTCTTCCTCATTGTTTGCTATTAATACTAGGTCATTCCCAGGGAACTTCTTCAATGGATAATAATGGACAGCACGGATCCTTGTAGTCCTACCTTTACTTCAAAGCTTTCACTATCTCCATCCGTTCATACCACAGTTTATGCTCCCAAATACATTGCCTTCACTGCCATAACCAACCATTCTTTCACACCTGATTTTCTCAAGGCCCATCTAGTAATCTCGCATGACACGTTTCTTTTCCTTTGTAAGATACTTCCTCCTGTATTTGTCTCACCAGAAAAATTGCACAAGAGTTTAGTAGCTCTATAAGACTTGCAATCTAAAGGATCACCTTTCCCCTTTTATACTGAAATAATTATACTTCTTCACCAATCCTTGGGAATAGTTCCTTCTATGACAATTAGATTGGCTAAACTCATTAACTATTCAATCCTTAAGTCATCAGAACCTTTTAACATCTCTGACACACTCTCATTAAACTTGCTGACTTCTTTTTTTCATCATCAATGCCCTCTTAATTTCGTTCTTGCCAAATTTACACCCTGGACCTTCTATCTTTGCACAACTAATATCATTATCCCATTCATTCTCTTCATTCAAAAGTCCTTCCATTTTAGCACACTCCTGCCCTTGTTCTTCTTGCGTTTTCACTATTAATTTCTTGGTATTTCTTTTCGCCACCTTGTAAATATCCTTATCACTATTTTCTTTTCTGTTATATCATTCTTTTGAAAAACCTACCATGTCTCCTTATGTTTTTACGATCCTTTTGTCGGTCCACATACCTCCTCAGTTGTCTTCACTCAGGCTTTCTTCATGGCTTCCTACTTATCATTTACCCCAGATGCTTGTGCCGCCTCCACTTCTCTTATTGCCAATGTCATATTGAATTGACTCTAGCACTCTCCTTCAATTTCCAAACCTTCAACCTTGGCACAAACTTTCTTTTACTGATCCTGGCGCTTTAAAAGTGAGAACTCCTATAACTGGTCGGTGCTGTCCCGGTATCACTTTCATATTTTTCTATGCTCTTATAACATCTCCTTACTAACAAAAAATCCACCGCACTTTTAGTACAACCCGACTTTTTCTTAAACATTGTATTACAAACAATCATATCTTTAACATCACCAAAATCTAAAATTCTCTCCCCTCCGGATTTCTCATGCCGTATCTAAAACATCCATGTACTCCCTCATAACACTCATTACTCGCTCCCACATGTCCATTCAGATCACCAGCCAGGATAATCTCTTCATTTGCCAGTTTCGATGTCACCTCCAATAGACTGTCCCAAAATGTATTTTTCTCTTCTTCACTTCTTCCAACCTGAGGAACATATGCTGAAATAATATTGCATAGCTTTTTACCAAAAATCATCTTGATAATCATTATCTAGTTATCTAGTATTCTTACTTTGATTACTTTGTCCACCCATTTTTTTGCAATCAATACGCTAATGCCAGCCATACCATCATTACCTCCTTCAGAAAAATTTATACTTTTCACTTGTCCTCCCAATCATTCTTGAGATTACCTTTCCATCTGGTCTCTTGTATGCAATACACATCTATATGCCTTCTATGAAGTGCATCGACCTCTTCTCCAGCTCTTCACGTCATGCTCCCAACATTCCATGTCTCAATTCTCACTCTATTTCCCATAAACTGGTTTCTCCACTTATTATCATGTCGTTTATGGCCATAATATGTTTCATTATCACGAATCATACCAGGTTTCCCATCCTTCTTTTTGTCATAGGCGAATAAGGAGGCCCATTGGGTACTCTGGTATATACCCAGCCCATGCTTTGTTATAATCATTAGAAAATCTCTGACTAAGGTTTTTACAATCGGGTGCCTTCTTGACATCAACTGGTTTTTACATCACATCGAAGAAATAGTGATCCTATTATAAACCCAGGCCACAACCTTTTAAACCTTCATTTATTAGCCACCAAAAGACGTTGGCACTCCCCCGCCACGATGAGGCTGAAGATAGGATTTGGGAGAGCATAAATAGCTATGTCTAAATTTATTTTTTATTTTTTTGACCTTTTAACAGAAAGAAAACTTTTTAATCTAACCTATTTTCCGGAAACTACATATTTAATTCAAAATCGTTTTGTTCAAAATTTTATTCCTGTTTATTACTTAAAAATTTGCACATTTTAGATATATGGTCAGCTGGTTGTGTTTTAGCCGAACTTATGTTAGGACATCCTCTATTTCCTGGGGATAGTGGAGTTGATCAGCTAGTAGAAATTATTAAAATATTGGGAACTCCCAGCCGCGAGCAAATTCGGCAAATGAACCCCAACTACGTAGAATTCAAGTTTCCACACATCAAACCTCATCCTTGGAATAAAGTTTTTAATCTAAAATTATTCAAGATAGGTTTTTATAAAAAAAATTAAATAAATTTATAGGGGATTATTTTTTTTTTTTTAAAAATGATTATTATTTGAAATATAAAATAACTTTCTTAGATTTTGTTTTTAACTTTTAATTTGTGAATAATATATATTATATTTTATATAGCTGATTTTTGCCAAACATTTTTTGTGAAATCATAATGCTTTGCAATATATTAATTATAGTATTTACTACTAATTTGTAGGTATTCAAAAATCGAGTACCCCCTGAGGCAATAGATTTAATAAGCAAGCTTTTGGAGTATACACCATCTCACAGGTTGTCACCACTCCAGGCTTGTGCTCATTCCTTTTTCGACGAACTTCGTAATCTAAATACAAAATTACCTAGCGGAACTTCCCTCCCTCCACTTTACAACTTTTCGCCCTTGGGTAAGATTGTAAACTCTTTAATAGCGATTATAATATATATATTATGATGGATAAAAAGCAGCAATAGCGAGTAAATTATTAATGAATGTAAGAAAAATAACAAATATTTAAATATGGAATCTGTAATACACAGATTATTTACTTGCATTTTATTTTGTAGCTTACATTTAGCTGTTTTATATTTAGAAATGAACATAGCACCCGCCCTCAATTCGATCCTCATTCCCCCACATTATCACCCAGAATCCCAACCATTTACGGCTGATACTAGTGGTCTGACACTTCCCTCTTCTGACATAGTTACTGCATCTACTATCTCGTGTTCATCATCTCAACAACAACCAGAATTGTTTATCAGCGGCAAAGAAAAAGGGAAAGATCCCTCACCGCACATCAATATAAAGACTAAATCTGGGCCTCAACACACCTTCAGTAACCCTTTTGCCTCTCCTAATCGTAAAGCAACTCCTCACCATGTAGATAACGTTAGTCCCATAGGTAAAGCAACTGAGGCTATAAGCAACAATGTCAAGAATTGCAAAATATCCGATTACAAAGTAAGTCAAAGCTCTATCGATAAATCTCTCACTTCCACAAATAATGATAATGGCTTAATCAATAGTACCTCCTTCTCCGAAAATCCTTTACCTGGAGTACCTGTCAACTCTCTACTCTCCGCTAACGATGAAAATAATTAACATGTAAGATAATTGAATAGAATAACAATATCTCCTAATTTATTACGATTGAATAATTTAACTAAATTTTTGAAACATTGTACTCGCACATGCTCATAAAAATCCATAATTTCATGTCGCTAATTTTAATATCTGCTTGATCTAAATTCTCATAAGCTTTAGAATGATCGTTATAATATTTGTGATTAATATGATAGATTGAAATAGTAAGTAAATTACTGAAAATCATAATATATTCATATTTTTATCTGTAAAACATATGCAAAACTGTAGAATAAATTAAAATTCGAATATCCTTAATATTTTTAAAAATGTTAATATTTTTATATTGAGTTCGAAAATCACAAAATTATGTATATTTTATTATACATTTATTAATACCATTTTTCAATCATTTTGTACTCCCCTCCCTTCCTCCACTTTGGTTTATTATTTTTTAAGTATTAAAAAATTATCGCTTAACCCAACCTATTCATTGGAGATTGCAAATGTTAGGTTTTAAAGCGTTTGTAATTCGCATTAGCAAATTACTTAAACTATCTCATATAAATCAATTTTTTTTTATTGAATGTTTTGGTTATATTTATTGAAAAAGGGACATGTCATAACATTTATAACATAAAGATAATTGTTATATAATATATAAAATGCTTAATTTATGCTTCATGACCTGATTTTATTTTATTCTTATGTTTATTTTACATGACTTATATACAGATTCAAAAATTTTTTTGTCAAGAATAAACTTTTATATATTTTGAGTTATTTATAAAAAACTGCTAAACATTATTGAACTTACTTTTATCTTTTTCATATTCTGGACTTCAAATTTATTATAGCAATTTGTAATATTTTGGAAAGATTTGTAAATTATGTAAAAAAAAAATTACATGTAAATAATAGAGTTTTAAAATTCCTGTAAAAATATTAAATAAAATAATTTTATACAATACAGTTACCTAGATTTTGTTAACAAATTTTTAGCAATTACTAATAATTAATAATCAATTTTATTTTACTAAAGGACCCATTTGAAGCATAAAAGTTCTAGTATTTTGATATTCATAATTACCTAAAGAATATAATTGGTTCTAGCCATGCAAAATAAATTTAATTTTAGGAAAATTATAAAATTGCTGGTTTATGAGACGTGCCCTATAAATCTTATCTTTGCACAGTCAGATTTTTTGGGTACTCTCATTGTCTATTATGTTGTACTCAAATTTTTAAACAATAAAGAGTCACAATTTTTATAAACATTAGTATATTGCCATTTTAAAATATTCTCAAGCCTATAATGCCAGAGATAAATTGAATCTAATATATAAATTACATATTATAAATGACACATCAAGATATAATACTGCTGAAGCTGATTATGACACAACTATGAAGAAGCATCACAGAGCAAATCTTGAGTGTCACATAAAATGAAACCACTCAAGAACTCAATAAAATTAACAAAATATCATAACAAATAAAATATATAATTCTAATTATGTATACAAAAGTGTTCAATAAAACCAGTTCTTAGAGAATTGAACCTAACTGATATTTTTATTTTTTACGAACTTGAATCTTACCCTTTATTTTTGTCCGAACTTAAACCAAACTGATATTCGGTTTGGATAAGATTAAGAAATAATTAAAATTCTAGATAAAGAGCTTACTCAACCTCCCAAGTTGTTGCGTCCAGGAATTTATTTCGGACCCGGTTGGAAGGGTTACCCTTAGACCTACCATACATCAAGATTTAGGTTGCATGGTCCCGTGAAATGAAAAAATTATAAAAATCTTGTTAAATGCTCATAAATCTTAAAATCTATAAAAACAAGCGTAAATTTCATTCATATTTTATCAAATTTCTTTATTTTCTTGCTAAATCTTGAAATGAACAATTTTACAAATGTTAAGATTGTACATTTAGATCATGACAACTCTTCAATTTCAAGAAGCGAAGAAAACAATATGTATATTTTATGTTCATTGTGTATAATATTATTTTTTAAATCTATTTTAATAATATATACATTTTAATTTGATCTAATGATCTTAATTTCACATGATAATGGTAAAAATATGCCTATTTAAAAAATGTAATGAATGCATATGTTAAGTATTTAAGCATAGGGTTCATATAACACATTAACCAATATTAGCACTAATAAATAATTATCAAATGTAATTTAAATCATATTTTAATCTTATAAAGGTTATGTTTAATATAAAATTCTTTAAGAAATTATATTTATGTATAAAATAATTTGAATTTTAAACTAATTTAAAGAATTTTCATAAATCCAAAGTGTGAATGTGATTGTTTAATTGCTCAGGTTTCTTAAGATGACTGATTTAAATATAAACCATGCTATATTTCTTTTTATTCCAAAATAGAATCTTACATTTCAAAGTAAATTAAACGAAGTTGCAAATATGTCAAAGATTGGGTAAAGGGGGACTCTTGGCACTGATAACTAGGATTGTTAAAAAGCTCAATTCTGTCGATTTTTAAAAACGACCCGATTAAGATTTTAGTCAAATATTTTATAAGCCTAGGGATTTTGATCATAGATGGCAAAAAAGTTTGGACCTCTATTTGCCAAACCTCGAGACTTACATAATATTATTTTGGCCTAAAACCTAATCAGATGGTTTTTAAGAATTGACCCAAATCTGGATTTTTAATAACTATTGATAACAATTCAATATATCCGACAAATTTCACAATTTGGTGCAAATTTTCATAAAGTTTTAAGGGCTATATAATTTTAATCGACATGCTAAGACAAAAATTATCTTATTTAAAAAATATTGATAATTCACAAAGTATTCCGCAGTTATCATTCTATAACACAATTTTAGCTATTTATCAAATTGCAGCTCAACCACTCTAAAATTACTTCACACTTTCATTGTAAAAGCACTGCAATTGCAAAAAAATATTTTAAGATCCTATTCACAAAAATTATTAAAAGATTTTAGAAGGAAACCATTCTTTTTCTCTATCTATGCTACATACTATCGCTAAATAGGGCACAATATTTTGCAATTTGAAATTGAATCAATACAGTGGCGTAGCAAGTAATTACCCATCGGGGGGGGGGGGGGGTTAAAAACTTTCTTTCCTCCGGGTCCCTGAAAAATATATAATTTTAAATTTTCAGTAGATCTTTATATCATGTTTGTTAAAGTTGGCTGAACAATTGCAAGTACTAATTCTAAAATTTACGAATATTTTGTCCTTTATTAATGTCTAACCACCTAAAAATCCAGCATTAATGAAAAAATATTAATATGAAAGCATTATTCTGGAAATTTTATCAATGTTTAGTGTTCAATTGTAGATTAATTCAATCCATTCGGTGTAGAAAAAAAAACAATTCGCCCCTCAAACCTCCCATTTTTTATGATCACTCAATATATCTTATTCTATAAAAAATTATTTTCATATGTGAAAATTTTACAGAGAATTTCTTTATAGATTTTATTTATTATTAAACATTATCATAAATAATATGCATTTATTTAACTATGTATTTATTTTAATGATAATATACAAAATAAATTTCAAAATGTATAAATATTATACAGATTATTATATTAAAAATTTATTGTAAATAAATGTAAAAAAATACATAACGGTATTTAAAAAAATATAATTAACACAAATGCTTATATTATCAAAATATAAATAACTCTCATTGTAAATGCAATACTTTTATTAAAAATAGCATAATATAAAAAATATATAAATATTATTACTAAGAATTTAATATAATTAAGTTTTGCTTATAAAAATTTTCTGACTAAAAACATAATATTAACAGAGTTGTTAACGCTCCTTTTTAAAAGTAGCTAGCTCCCGCTCCTACCTTCTCAAGAAGAGCTAGCTCCCGCTCCCACTACTACATTTTTAAAAGGAGCTAGCTCCCGCTCCAAGTAATGGAGTGCCACTCCATAACCACTCCTTTGATTTTCATTTTTCTAGAAGGTATACGAAACAAAAATCATATTTTTTTATCAAAGAGTTTATTTTATATTAAATGATCTATCAAAATATTTATAACCTTTTATTAGCATTTAAAAGTAATAAATTTTCTAAATTAATCTAACAAACATCTACGCTTCTCTCCTAAGACCTCTTTTGCAATATTAAATAGGCGTTCCTCAGGAGCACTAGAGGGAAGCGAGGTATTGTATTTTATAAAGATATTTTTTAATTAAGGGAATTTTTCAAAAATAGTAATTTTGGTATCATTATTTAAAAAATATTTTTTCAATATATTATCTTCCTGATCAATTTCAAGGAATCCAAAAAAATCTTCCAAAGCATTTTGTATTTAAAAGAAAGATTTTTTACTTTTAGATGTTTTTTTAGATTGAAGCTGCTCACTTTTGAAAATTAAATAGTTTTATTTAAACCCAAAAGGCATTTTGCCCTTAAATTTCTCTGATTATTTGGATTAACATCTTTTAGAAGTTTAAAATATTTTTTGTGTGTTAAAAATGGAAATTCAATTTCTTCATCTATGTTCTCTAAATCCATAATATCTAAAATTATTTTTTGTTATATATCTATAAAATGAATATTAATATGACTTACAAGATTTTCTAAAAAATTTACAATATAAAAAGGAAAAACTTGATGTTTAATATTTAAAATGATTAGATGAAAAACCAATATAAAACTCGGCTAAACATTTAATAATGGATAAATTTAAATAAAATAAAATTTTATTTTTATTGAATTTTAATTAACAAATATTATTATCATAAAACAATTTTATAAGGCGCGTACGCAGCGGGGGGGGGGCAGGGGGACAAATCCCCCCCTCCTCCCAAAGCCAAAAAATGCAGATGCCGGATACTATTTTTCAAAAATATTATTGTTAATATTAATTATATTTGTTAATATTTATTCCTATCTCATATATATATTTAATTACATTTATTTATCACATCACATTCATCTACTAAGTTATTTTATCAATTAATTTCGATTTTAAGTTTTCCTTGTAATATTTTACCTATTATTTTCAAATATTAGTGGGGTAATATTTATCTAAATTTCTAGTCAAATAATAATTATCTCTGAAACTCCTTGTCTAACAGGGAGAAAGAAATTGCAAGCTTGTCCAACGAGATCAAGTTTTCACCATCAAGCAGTAACAGCTTTTATGGAGTTAGAAAAGCCGATTATTAATGCTATTACTAAAATATCTTAATGGTTGAAAGAAATATTTCCTCAGAAGCAAGAAAATTATTAGATTTAATACTTATTCCAAATTATTTTTCTCATAAGGATGTATTTGAGAATAGCGGAGAGCATTTTATTGGAACTCAAAAAATTAGAGCTAATGAAATTTTATATGTTATTGTTGAGTCAAAAGCAGAGCTATATGTGTTTAATATTTGTCCCCCTCGACTTGTAGCAAGCAAGCTCATCGTCAAAACATTAATATAGGATAAGTAGAAGAGTATTATAAAACAAATGTCCCATCTCTTAGATACATTTATAACCCAAATAAATGAATGGTTTTTAATTCATCATGCAGCACTTACCAATCTCCAGAACTTCCACAAAAGCCTTCCCAACCTTTTTCAGATAGTGATAAAAAAA